GTTAATTGAGATTTTGATTTTTTACGTTCTGCTAATCGATAAATCTCTTCTGAAAAATTCCTGTGGAAGACTAATTAAAATAATTGAAGGAATCTTAAGTATATGTGGAAGCTTCAAATGATGAATTTTGCAATAAAGGATGATTACTCACATTTCACGAGTGTATCGTGAAGTGGACGCATTTCACTAGAAACAAGACGTTCGTGTATAACGAAACATCTATCGATGATGCGAACCTTTGAAATCGCGAAAGTAAATTTTCAATTAATAAGTAAAAGGAAATTTCGAAATCCTAAAGGATTAAATGGAAATTACCTGCTCTTCAATCGCCTCTTTCAATTTTTCTACAAAAACTTCCTTTTCGGGATTCTCTGCTAAAAATTCTTTACTGAAAAATGCTTTCTTATACATTGGCACACCGCCATTGACTGGTGCATCTACGGCACCATTTAACGACATAGATAATGGATTGGTATTCACTTTGTCCGATCCCTTTGAATTAAGATAAGCACCATATTTGGATTCGAGAGTCAACAGTTCTTGGTTCTTCGCCTTCATAGTGGCAACCGCATTCTCGATCGGTGACACTTCAATAACCGTGACTTGAACAATTTCCGATCGTCGAAGCACAGTAGGGAAATGATCCTCAGATATCAAAATGGTCTTCTCGGTCCATAAGTCCAAAAATTCATTGGTTGACTTCACACCATCAGGATTTTTATTCACCGGTCGTGAAAAGCTAAAAGTATTAATAGAATTGTGTTCATAATAACTACGAATTGAAGATGGAACATCTCCTTTGAACACAGGATTGCTTCTATCAGGCTCGGGTTTCACGGCGGTCACCTGTAAAAACTGTCCATCTCCATAAAGAATATCATCAGTCGGAGAATTACTTGATTTCAACAATTGAGCTTGAGGATGCTTATTTTGCATGCGTTCGCAGAACGCTCCAATCTTTTCCCATTCATATCCCCGGTATATGAATTGACGATTTTGTAAACTTGCTGGAAATCCTCGACCGAAAAACCCAACTCGGAAATATTCACTGAAATACCTTTCCTTTTTGATAACGTTCTCGTGTAGCACTGCTTGCTGTTTCAAAATGTTACTAAGGCGTTGGTAATCAAAAGTAGTGTACTCGAAGTGACGAGCCAATTCCTTGCAAATTTCAATACCACATTCCCATGCTCTACCTTTAACAAAATAATCCAAAATCTGTATATACAATCTCTCTTTCCGATCAAATGAAGATTGCTTAGGGAAATCCAGTTCGGGTAGTGCTTCGACCTCGGTGTGTGAATCCCAATCGTATAAATTAGAATGTAGCTTAAGTGTTAAAGCGGCTTCGACAAAGTTATGACTATTAACTTGCATCTGTACTAGCTGGTGCACGTATTTGATGTATATCTGATCGCGTTCAATGGATTTTATAAACTTCATCAATTTGAGGGTACACATTATACGGTCATCCTGGTATTCTTCACCTTCAGGTAACTCGCGAACTCCAAGCAGAAGTTCCAAGAATTCACTCAATGAATCCAAGAATTTCGTGACAATCTCTTTCAGCAAAGTATCAACAGATGAATTCTCGAACAATCTTCGCAATTGAGCTATAAAGTAAGAACGAGAAATCTCATCACCCTTGCCTTCTGACATAAACAACCTATCAAGCAAATCTATTATGTCGGATTCCATTTGTTTGAAATCACCCTCCAAAGTATACTGTGTGACAATCATGCTAAATAAAACTGTAATCGCCGCCGAACGTAATTCATCGTGATGAGATAAGCATAACTCTAAAATCGGTCCCAATAAAACATTTATATAACGAGATTGATATCCACCCATTTTGCCGTCGTTACCTTGTTCCCATCCAATGGCATCCCATAAATTTGATAACAATTTAGCCCCACGCCCTCGAAGATCTCCAGCTAATCGCCATATCGCACGACGCTTTTGTGGCGTGAAATTTTCTATAACTAAATGTTCACTGGTGAGTAAACTTAATAAGCAATTAAAATATTCTCGCCAAAGTTGCTCGTTGAAAGTTTCTGGCGCCTCCTTATCCGGAATATAGTTCTTCTCCAATAAAGATGAAACAGGTTCTAGAAATTTTAAAAATACTTTATGGGCCATAATATTCATGTTCAACCAAGTATCCGAGAAAGCCTCATTTTTTAGAACAGATCTCGCTACCTGAAATAATAAAATCAAAAATTCCGCAGTTGCATCGTGCCCTTCTCGATAATATGTCGAAAGTAGATGTTCTTTTATGTGATCTTGAGATAGTAAAAACATGATTTGCAAGATTACAGCGGATATTTCTCCCAATCCGGTAGAGTTCGAATATTGCTGTTGATTAAATGAGGCAAACGGGAATTCTTTCGAGGCTTTAACAGATCCCGGTGTAGGTGTCTGTATGGCACTAGGAAATGCATGTGCCCATGAAAACATAGGTGAGGATACCATAAAACCACCTCGATCCCTCTTCTGGCTTAACTCGTCGTTAGTTATATGTAATTCCCTGTAGGACTCACAAAGTTTCATCATGAGCGGAAGAATTGTTTTTACATTTTCGATTTCGTTCTCAATAATCTCTTTATCGGTTGATTTTTCAATGGTATTTTGAAGGCTCTCTAACATGACGGCAATAATAGTGACGCATAATCGGATACCATCATGCCATTGTATTCTTGCAGTGTCAACATCAATAATTTGTTTTCCAGATCTTTCCCATTTTCCCATGTGGTCCATCACCCACTCGACGACTCTACGTAAAAGTGTAGCGCGAGATTCCGAATTTTCAAATAGAGAACCCCGACAGAACTGAAGAATAAGCAACAGTTTATACGCCAAAAGTTTCCCTTTGGGCAATCTCACGGATTCGGTGAAACTGATAGCAATTTGCACTAGATCATCCGGTGTAAAACATTTACTTAAATCCGAAAATATTGAAGCAAAGTGCTGTAATGCCAATGTTTGTGTACCAATTATTGATTGTGGGGTTGTTATGGACATAAGTTTATCTATGCTTCTGAAAAGAGCAAATAAATCTTTCTTAAATTGTTCTTCAACATAATTCCCCGATAATCCAATGTCAGATTCTTTGTTTCGTTGAAGTTCACGTGACCGTAAAATCATTTTGAAGATGTATTGCCATACTTTTATTGCAGATCTCAGATTTTGTGCATTATCAGAACTTGTCGGATTCGAGATAAGACGATTCATTGAACGGATCAGGTGAGAAGACGCAGGAGCGCAAGAAAAATGTTTATCTATGTAAACATCGAGCACTGGTCGGAAATTCATGAATCTTCGATCAGAGACTATACCAAGTATTGTTACTAAGGCATTGAAAATTAAATCGTCCAGTTCTCCTTGTTGATTTCTTGTTGAGATAAGTATCCCGAAAAGTGCGTCAAAAATATCTTGCAGAAACTTGACTATTTCAACCTCACCAACAAAAGTAAATTTCTTCAAGACAGATATCATTTCGTTTTCGTCAGAAATAAGTTGTTTTTCCCAATTCAATAATTTAAGAAGCACTTCATTCTGCGTGTATTTTGTGGAACATAAGAATGATAATATCGACACGGTGTCCCTGGTCGAAGACATAAGTTTGTTACTCGAGTGCGAACTGGCAAAAGAATTCACAGATGCCACATCAGAAATTGTTGCCGAGGGAGTCCATGAAAATTTTAAATATGCAGATGGGTGTATCGACTGTTTATCATACTTATATAACGAAAGACAATGTTTTCCATCGTTAATAAATGCTCGATTTTCAGGAAACAAGGGCATATAAGCAAACGCAAATATTTTGTCTTCTTTTTTATCTTTTGTTGACCGATGACGAAAAGTAAGAAATATATGAGACTTTTCGAACAACTCCACTGGTATATTCAACTTTAATAATTCTCCCCATGTTGGATTGTTAGAATGATAAAAAACGAGCGATTCAAACTGCGTTATTCGTGGCTCACCCGATCCTTGTGAAATTACATTTTCCAATGTTTCGCCTGAATTTAATCTAACCTCCATAGTTACTTGAATATTTTTCGCTGTAGTCGTACGTCCTTGAGTAAAATCACCAGACAACAATCTAATATAGATCTCATTTCGAGTGTCACCAGGGAATACAACGTCCGCAAAACCAAGACGGGAAGTAATAGGAATATCTTGAAGTGACGCTGGATTTTCCTTGATTATAGTTGCTGCCTCACCATAATAAGGGCGGATCGAGACGCTTACCATTTCAGCGCGAGGAGATTTTTCGAATTCTTTAACACGATCATGAATAATGTCTTCATGGAGAGTAGAAAATGATGATTCTTGCGAAGATACATAAATGGGCATCACATGTTCACTTATGGTTTCTTTCTCCTTTCCTTGCAGAAGATGGGTAATCTCAAGAACAGCACAACCAAAAGGTCTGCGAAATGTTTGCGGTACAAGTTTTGATTGTTCGATCGGTTCCGATTCTTTTGATGATTTAGAAAACCGGGAAGTCATTGAAGTACCCTCCTTTGGTGATTCCTTGTCCTTATCTGCCATTTTCATACTTCCAGTTCTGACGATTCGGCAAAGTAAATAAATTTGTTCCTGAATATCATGAGGAGAGAGATCTGTGAAAATTGTTCTCATTTTCCCTATCTTTGATTCGTCTTTTGGCACACCATTATGATTAAGTACGATAAAGTAATCTTCCGTGATAAATCGACCGTTCGCCTTTGTATATAATGAAAAGTAAAGTTCTGTATATTCACCAGGCGCTGATATAGATGCAACCCAAGCTTTTAAATCCAAGAATAAGTGATAGAACTTTGGCGCATGAGTTCCTGTGTCAGTTATCACGGATGAAGACTGTGTTTGTTGCACGCCAGGAGTTGATACTGTAGGACTTGCAATTAACGAATCAGCCTTTGACTTATCCATGTTCAAAAGAGACCATTGGGCTTGTAATTGGTAAAGTCGAATTGACGATATATTCGTTTCGTCAGCAAGGAAACCTTTCTCTGGATCTCGAACAATAATGTCCAAGCCTTGAATTAAGTTTCCAGATACAAGCTTATTTATGAGTTCCTTTCGTAGTTTGTTCAATTCATCTTGTGACAATGTCTGAGCCAGCAATTGACGTCGACCTTGTAGTAAATCATTTATTTGATCTTTAACGGTTCTGAACATAGTGTACCTTCTTTCTTCCAAGTACTTTGGTAATAGGCTGCTCCACTCTCTTACAGTACTAGCAATTTCGTCAATTAATGGTTCAGATTTTCCACTAATTGTATCGTCACCACATGTAAGTGATGGTAAGGGAGGAGGAGGTCGTGTGGTTTTCTCTGATGATAAAGATGCAACATCATTAATTTTCGGTTCCTCTGCTTGTAATTCTACATTATCCAGATATTCCTTGATGTATACGTGATTTTGGGGAAAAATACCGACATAAACTTGAGCTTCTTCTGTTTGTCGCAGTTGAGAAACAACGTATCCACGATACCATGCACCTTGTTCTTCGAAAACATAAACTTCGTCTCCAACTTCAAGTGTTACTTGATAGGAAACGACAGGTGAATTTGAATTAATAGATGTTACCGATGCAGCATCAGAAGAAGTACCTCCAGTACTTTCTGGTATTGTTTCTCCTTTGGTTGAATCTGAAGAATTTG